GTTAAAACAGCATTCCTAAATGGTGAACTAGATGAAAATATATATATGGAATAACCCGAAGGCTTTATAGTCGAAGGGAAAGAGAAGAAAGTTTGTAAGCTTAAAAAGTCTTTGTATGGACTTAAGCAAGCGCCAAAACAATGGCATGAGAAGTTTGATAATACGAGGAGGTCGTATGGTTTTAAAATAAATGAATGTGACAAGTGTGTCTACATTAAAGAAACCAAGAAGGATACGATCATTGTATGTCTATATGTGGACGATATGTTGATAATGGGAACAAGTAAAGACATTATCAATACCACAATGAAGATGTTGAATGACAATTTCGAAATAAAAGACATGGGATTGGCTGATGTAATTCTTGGAATTAGAATTAAGCGAGAGCCAAATGAGTATTCACTTACTCAATCTCATTATGTGGAGAAAGTTCTCAAGAAGTTTGGTCACATTGATGATAGACCAGTAGTTACTCTGTTTGATCTGACGTGTAAGATTTCAAAGAATGAACGAGAAAGTGTATCTCAGTTAGAATACACACAAATTCTTGGAAGTATCATGTACATTACAAATTTTACAAGACCAGATTTGGCTTACTCATTGAGTCGATTAAGTCGATATTCAATTAATCCAAATGGAGAACATTGGAATGCTTTGGTTAGAGTATTGAGATACTTAAAGCATACAATGAATTATGGTCTATATTACACTAAATTTCCTCCGGTGTTGGAAGGCTATAGTGATGCCAATTGGATCTCTGAAAGTACAGATAGTAAATCCACAAGTGGTTATGTGTTTACACTTGGTGCTGGTGCTGTGTCTTGGAAATCATCTAAACAAACGTGTATAGCACGTTCTACAATGGAATCGGAATTTATCGCACTAGATAGTGCTGCAGAAGAAGCCGAATGGCTAAGGAATTTTCTTGAAGATATTCCACTATGGCCAAAGCCGGTGACTTCACTATGTATCCATTGTGACAATATGGATGTCTTGAATATAGCGAAAAATAAAAATTTCAATGACAAGTCAAGGCATATTCGAAGGAGACATGCCACAATACGACAATTGCTTTCCAATGGGGTGATAGCATTAGATTATATTAGATCAAAGGAAAACTTGGCTGATCATTTGACTAAAGCCCTACCGAAAGAGCAAGTCGTATACACTTCGAGGGGAATTGGTTTAAAGCCAACACTATGAGTCAGCACTTGGAGGAAACCTTACCTAGCAACATTGGAGATCTGATGGATTAGGTTCAAAAGGCAAACTGGCTGAGGAAGACTCAAGAGAGTAATACACATTACTAATTCCTATGAAGTTAAATGTGTATCCATTGACGATTAAAGGGATGAATGTTTATTCTTAATAACATTAATATCTTGTGTTTACTAGTGGGATAGAATGGACTATTCTTAATTAATGTTACCTATATGAGAGTGGTGTCGCGGTCGCACCTATGAGAATTGAGATGGCTAAATTCTCTAGAGCTCTCACGAAGTCGGGATATGTTCAGGACCAAAATGAACACAACCGTATAAACATGAAATGAGCTGATGATATATGTGTTTCACTTATTGTCTCGATTTACTATCAAATGTGGTTAGTTCAAGACAAGAGTTCACTACCCACAACGTAAATCCGATAAGTATTAACTAGGAAAGGTTCAAGTCCAAAAGACACCTTTACCGATGCATATTGATTCTATTTTCTCATATATTGTGGAGCTTATTTTCTATTCATCAAATGTGGGGTATTGTTGAGTTTGAATAAGAAAATGTGAGGTATTGTTGGTGGTTATTTACATAATCACTTATATTTACATTAATATGTTTATAAACATTCATATTTATGTAAATACCCCACTACTTGTGAAAATAACATCACGTCTCTTTGAACGTATGTGACGATTAGAAAAGCAACATTTGATTTAAGAGAAGCATCTTTTGGATCAAGCACCGCTTGGATTAATATTTAAAGAGATGTCACGATACAAAGATGGAGAGAGAGATAGACAAACAAGTAAGAGAGAGGGAAGAACAATACAAAGAGATTAATGAGAGACAGAGATTGAGATTGATTCTAATCTTCTCCTTTTCCAAATTAGTTTCTGAGAATCTCAAAGTAGGTTTGCTAGGGTCTCTGTATAGGTGTGAATACAGAGATCGATTGTTGTATCCTGCAAGATAAACGCCCACAGAAAGCTACTAACACCATCGTAGGGGCAAAATTCTGTCTTAGGAGATTGCTTATTGCAAGCCTCAATCAATCTATACGTTGTTCTTACGTTAAAGCAGAGAAGAGATCGACGGTGTACATACTTGTGTACGTATTTCAGTTTCAGTTCTCTTCTGGTTACTCATTTAATAAAGTGTACGTGTTTGTATGTACGTATTGTGATCTGCATCTATATTCCTGAGACAACATAAGTTCAACAATAAGAAACAATATTGTCTGTTTCCTAATGGAAATTTATCTCAATAAGCCACTCAAACAAGGATTCTACATAGGCGAAAACCAAAACCGGTTCGTGGAGTTTAAATATAGAAACTTAGGTGATTTTTGCTACAACTGTGGCATGGTTGGTCACGTGAAAAGCAATTGCGATCAGGTTAGGTTTCCTAAGGAACGTGCCTTGAACGACACGTCAAGAACAAACGTCTATGGCCCTTGGTTAAGACTTCCTCCCCTCGAAACGTATTACCAAACTGTTTTGATGAAATCACATTCGAAACAGAATGGTGTTGATGACTGCGAGAAGACTCTCTCGTATGCTCAATTCTTTATATAGGTTGAGTATAACTTGGTCGCTATCTACATCCCTAAATCCACGAGGGAAACAACAAGAAAGTCCACTCACAGATTTTGTTTTCCCTGTTCGTACCTTGACACAGAAACAGAGTCCACAGATTTTACTACTTGGAAGGCGTACGAGGTTTTACGGAGGGAGATTTGCGAGAATTCGCCTTTCTTGTCCCACGATCTTGAACATAAGTTGTTGAATAAACCTGGAGATATCGAAAGTCTTATGGACTAGTTGAAAACCATCAAGAAGGATGAGTTTTCTTGTTATGATATGTGGTTGACTCTTAAGTATCAAATCAACAGAAACCTTGAGGTAACGCCTGATGATTACGAGTCCCTGAACAAGATTTATAGGGACATACAATGTGAGCGATTGATTGAGAGTAAAATCTCGGATCTGATCAAGAAAAGAGTGGAAAAACAAATCAGAGAAGTAATATCGGAGATGGGTTTCACTCATTGTATGCATCCCTATGATGTGTCTAGAAGAGCTAACCAGGCAATGATAAAGACGGTTCAGATGGAGATTTCTTCGAGCAGCTCTACGGTACCAACATATAGATCTACGATTTTCGGGTTAGAGCGTTTTAAGGTGCTTAGATCAGACATGGATCGGCTTAATCCGTGTATGATTTGCGTTGGGGAGATATTTCTTGGAGAAGAAGCAATCACATTGCCTTGCTGTCATGTCTTCCACAAGTCTTGTATTTGGTCACAAGTGTCCCCTACTCTTTTTTTTTTGTCGTCTGTTTTTATTAATATCACAAAGAAGGATACATTGTTGAAATACATAAGCCGGCGGAAACACTAGAAATCCCCGGAAACTTAAATCCCAAAAGAGGGAAGCGAAAGCCCAAAAGAGGGAACCAGTTGAACACGTGGAGAATACAATCCACAAAAACGAAACAACAGTCAAAAACTTAAACAAAAGCTCGAAAGAAAACGAACTTGCCAATCTTACTCCCACACAAATGTGAACCAAGCCAGCCACAAAGGACAACACGTGTCCATCTTGCAGTCAACGAAACCTCCTATTGCGTAGCCAAGGTACCTCTCAAATCGAATGAACCTAGACTTCTATTCCGACAAGAAAGACGCGAGACAAAGAGACCAAATCCCACAAATCTTTCGGAAGCGGCATTTGTCGCAAACCACGACCTTTAATCGCCTCGTTAGAAGACATGAACTGACCAGACCTCGATCAGGTCTTGAGTGTAGAGACAAGGAGCGAAACAAACCTCTAACCGGCAAACACTAAACTCAAAAGGAGAAAAGCATACGATCGAACCGGAGAGATCACAATAAAGCTCATCAAAGGACAAAAGCAAGCTCAGCAAGACACAAAAACAAGAGAGCTCTAGCAAGCTCAGACCAAAGCTTCGGGCAGCAAGAGAGGAAGGAGAACGAGGTAGCCATACCAAAATCCCGGATTATCCGTAGAATCAGAGCCTAAACTAACCTACACAACCCCTTAAGCTACCTAAACTAACGATTATACAACCTTAAAGCCACAAGCAAGAGACCAGAGGCAACGATTAAGCCATCAACACAAAATACAAAGACTACACCAAGTGCAACCATGCGAGAAACCAACGAGAGGAGCAGCCCACCCGGCAAAGGCCAACACCACCACAGCCCCAAAAGAACCAAGGGGACAGAAACTTCCAACAACCACAAGCTCTCGTCACTTACCAGATCCACCATCACCCGACAACACTAACCAGAGCCAACACCTTTAAAGCATAGAGAATCCGCCAATCCTTGCAAAATCCACCTTTGCAATCACCAAAGACCCACGCCGCAACAAAACCGCCACTCCAATCGCCAAGGTTTCACCAAAGGAAACACCAACAAGACTAAGAACAAAGCAAAGGAACAACAATAAGAGCCCTCTCGCGGTGCCGGTGAGAAGCACCGACCACCGGAGAGGCGGATCTAAGAATCGGTTTTTTGTGACCCTCGACGGCTGCGATTTTGACGAAAGAGGATTAAGTGTCCCCTACTCCCCTTTGTGTTTTTAAGTTACCTTCACAAAAATAAACAATTTTCTTTGTAAAGTTTGCTTTATTTCAGTCACTTCATCATAATTTGTTTAACCTTTTTCACACAGTTTTTTTTGTTTTTTTCGTCTTTGTCTATTATTATGGGCTTTCTCTTATAAAAGTAAACTAAAGGTCTTAAAATAAGATTACGTCAAAACATTAAGGGTGTAAATGAAATAAAGCCTAAAGGCCCACACATCTTACATCAACACTAGCTTTCTCTCTCTTAACTCTCTCGAACCTTTCAGAGACAGAAAGTTAGATATTCTCTTTTGCTTTCCGATCTTTGATCGGAGTAGTCTTTTGGTTTAAATCTCTGTTCTTGCGTCGGCTATCTTCCCCGACGTAGTTTTTTGTTTTCCGATTTGATCGGATTTATATTTCTCTCTTTCTCAGTTCTGTCTTTAGTTTGGTTTTTGTTATCTTTTCTACTGGTTTTATTTTGATCCTGATTGCAATTAATAGATCTCCTTCGATGTACCCGTCTGCTTAACTCCTTTCTCTAAGTTGGAATAATATCTTCGTCGACATGCTTCTTATGAAGTTGACCTTGTTAGGTCTCAAGACGGAGCCTCCTCTACGAGTTTTGAGTTGAGAAGTTCAAGGCGGAAGTGGTGGGTTTCATCTATTTTGCATCAGCGATATCTGTAGAAGAGATTTGGTGATGGATTATTGAAGCCTATCGTCGGATCTGAAGCAGATCGTGGATCTCGAGCACCGACTGTTCTCTCCTTCTCGTGTGTTCTGCATCTATCATCTTGTAACACGTGGCACTTTTCCTTCTTAATCTTATCTTTTTAGATTAGATTAAGCGATGTTAATTTTAAATTAAGGTTTTAAAAGGAGGAATTTGGGCTTCTGTATTTTCATCACATGTATTGTCCTTTGGGCTTTTTAATAAATATGTTGGCCGACAAAAAAAAAATGGAATAAAGCCTATAAATTTACTAGGTTTGGTGATGTGGCATTCACCGTATATTAAGCAATGCCTGCGTAACACGTATGCAAAAACCCATATGTGTGCACGCACCTGTGAAGTGTTCCAATTACAAATCAAAAGCTAAGTGAGTGAGAAGAGACACACTGACACGAAAATTCAGTTTGATATCGGCAATTCCCAGATTTTACTCTTTGGCGGTGACTCATTTCTTACGCGCGAGTGTTGTGTACGCGCGAGCCTTCATGGAGGCTACGGCGGCGTCAGTAGAAGCGTCGATGGTGTTTCCTGGGTTTAAGTTTTCGCCGACTGATGTTGAGCTGATTTCGTATTACTTGAAGCGGAAGATGGATGGCTTGGAGAGGTCCGTTGAGGTTATACCGGACGCTGAGATTTACAATTTCGAGCCTTGGGATTTGCCCGGTTTGTCTTTCTTCTACTCTGCTTCAGGAGAATTTCTTATTTTTGGATCTCGTTGTTTAAAGTTCATACCTTTGAGTCTTTTGACAATTGAGGAACTGTTGCCTTTGCTCCAAAACATCTTCTCTTATGTAAAGTTTCTATTTTTTTTTGGCTCTGTGAATTGACAAATTTTGTTCTTTGTAGATAAGTCGATTGTGAAATCTGATAGCGAGTGGTTCTTCTTCTGTGCCCGTGGGAAAAAGTATCCACATGGGTCACAGAACAGGAGAGCAACGAAGATGGGATATTGGAAAGCAACTGGGAAAGAGCGTGATGTGAAGTCTGGTTCTGAGGTCATTGGAACAAAGAGGACGCTTGTTTTCCATATTGGTCGTGCACCAAAAGGTGAAAGAACTGACTGGATTATGCACGAGTACTGCATGAAAGGAGTTTCTCTGGTAAACTGTTCTTTAGAGTTTTGTTTTGTCTTAAGATTATGCACGAATACTTGAGCTACGCTGGTTACTTTGGGAGGAAAGTTAATCATATACTTCATTATAGCAGAGGAATACGGTAACAGTTTAGGATTTTGGTCTTTCGCTTGAGTTGATTGATTAATGATCTTCTGTAAATTCTAGGATGATGCTATGGTTGTTTGCCGGGTTAAGAGGAACAAAGAATATCAAAGTGGTATGAGTCAGAAGGCACCCGAGCCAAAATTAGCACCCGAGAAGCACGCCATCTTGCAAAATGGTGCTACTAGTTCAGGGAGCCCGTCTGATTGGGACAACTTGGTTGATTTTTACCTAGCAGGTGAATCAGGGGAGAAACTGCTCTGGGAGATGGCACAATCATCAGAAAATCTACAGGTTTGTTGTCCCCTTCGTCTTTGTTTATTTTATGTCTAGGGGATCGAAACAAATTTGGATGATGGTTCTTGATTGTCCTTGTTGTTAATGATTCTTCTGTGTGTTTAGGTGCATAATGACGAGGATTTCTTTGCGGATATCCTAAGAGACGAAATCATCAATCTTGATGAAGCGGTGATGAGGGGGAACACACGAGACGAAATCCCAACACTAGAATCAGCATCAATGGAGATAAGGGTACTTCCCTTACCAAACATGATAGACAAACAAATGTCATCACTGTTAGAGGAAAGACCATCACAAAAGATGGAAGGAACAGATACCATGGAATCATTGTCGAACTGCTTCGTGGGTTTATACTCGATCAAGTCAGTGAACCGAGCACGATGGAATGTTATTATATGTTTAGTAGCTCTGATAGCAATGTTGTTTTATCTAGAAGAATAATGTTTATGGAAGTAGAAGAAACCAGTGTCCTCCTGAGTCCTATGTTTGCATCTTCTGGGACAAAAATATATATGATGTTTTCGTGTAAGAGGTTTATACGTTTTTTGTGTTTAATGTTCTACACTTGTACTTCAAATCTGTGCAACCAAACCGATCATCAAAAGTGAATTACAAACTTGTACTCAACTAGACCACAGAAGAAAGTTATATTGTTAACAAATCCAGTTTTGTGGATATAATTGTTAAATAATACTAATCACATAGGATGATAGGAGCTTAAGTTTGTGTTTAATGAGAATGGATAAAAAGGATGGGGGCAATTTAGTAAATTACTATTTTCCAAATCCGTACTGTTTATCTTTCTCGTCCAGATGGCTGTAGATTTTTATCTAGCCGCCATTAAACCTCTGCTTTGCGTTTCTTTCTCTCTTCTTCTATACGAGAAATCCATTTTTTTGGTAGAAGACAAGTCGCCTCACTACTCCGTTAAGCCGATTTTATCGAAAGATCTTCTCGATCAGTTTCTTCAATTTAAGAAGCCCTAGAAAAGCTGATGATTCGATAATGAAGTTTGATTTCACTGTGCAACTTCGATCTGTAAGTTGGAGATATCTTTATCTTCTTCATTGATGCTTCAATTTTGTTTGTGGTGCTGAGGAAATTCAATCTTCTGTAGTAGTTTAGATATGAAGGAGATTCGTGTTGAAAATCTAGGTCATTAATGGATTTTGCTTTTAATAGTAGTAGCTTACACTGATTATATTGTTCTACTTTTGGTTTGTGTTTAGGAAATTTTAACTGAGTAGGTGAATTTTTTGTCACATTTTCGATATGTGTCTCAATTTCGATTAGGCGTGCTCTTGGATGCATTTTTGTTGGATGGTATGAAGAAATGGATATTGTGAATTTGGAACAGGTTTTGTAGGAGCTAGATAGAAAAATGTCGAGGCCGATCATGCTCGTCTTTCTTCTGGTTATACTTATAGTCACTTCTCAGTTTGAATGGAGGCAACCACTTCTTGAGCTTGATGCAGCTCCTAGCTTGTCTCAGAAACATCAGCAGATTGCTAAGAGGGAAGAAGCTGTCAAGGAGAAGGTACTGACTCTTATTCACTCTTTTCATGGTAATTTTGTGTGTTCAGTTGTATGAGAAAGACCTGAATTGGTTTTGGGATTGTGACTTATAGATTAGTTAAACTGTTGAAGAGATTTATGCATAGTTGGATTGAGTCAGTTAACTTGTAATGTTCTGATGCTAAAGATTCATGTATCTGAATCCCGGGCCTTTTTTTGATCGATACATTGGTTGTTTTTGTTTCTGGCTTAATTCTCGGCATTGAAATGCTTTTTTGTAACTGGATTACATTTCTCTAGCTTCTTCTTTTTGAGAATGTCTCTGGAATCCATCAATGACTGATCTGACTTTTTAATGTTGCATAGAAATATTGGTTGTTTTTTTGCCTTCTGTTGTGTTTTCCCTGGTTGCATCAAATAGATGAGGTTAGTGGAGAAAATTTGTATAAAAAGAAGACTTATTTGTCTTGCAACCTTAAAGTTCCATTGGATGTATGACAATCATCATAGTTTCAGCATAATTTTTGAACCTCAAAATAGAAGAAGACCTGTCAATTCTAAGTTCTAACAGTGCTTTTCTTTTTCTTATTTTGTCAATCTTCACAGATCATCTTGTCACAAGAGAGACATATCCAGAGGCTAAACGACCTTGTACGAAGTCTTCAAATGCAGTTACAGCGATGCAAAGGAGAGAACGAGACACGAAACGCCACTGAAACCTCCCATCTAAACAAACAGTTTATTGAGCTCGAGAGGAAACACATCGTGGAAGACTAATATTTCCTCCGTTATTACAACAGCTCTAATAAATAACACAAATGGTACGTAAAAACTGTTGTAATTTACTTTTGTTGTGTTAAAACGTTGCTGATGATTTGATTAGAAGGATGAATTACTTTGTTCATGAGTAAGATTGAGATATTTAACTTGTAGTAAAATTGAGAATTAGGGTACTTGTAATATCTGTAGTTACTTATGGTTGATTCTATCATTTATCTAACAAAAAAAAAAAAAACACATGAATATATAACATAATCGATGTCTTCTTCTAGTCAAACTTTGGTTGTGATGTTAGATTTTACTTTGACTGATGAGCCTAACGAAAGTCTAAGATGACAAAAGCAAGCTTATGTCATATTCTTTCCATGATTTCATCACTAGTCAGAGCCTAAATAAATCTCTTATTAGACACCAACCACAACTACATATTTGTTCTAAGTCAAATAAAACCAAATCTCCCAAGAAATTTTCACATACTCATTTAATATTCTTCCATTTTTATTTCGCTTTCTAAAGTCAATAACCTTAACAGTCAAAAGCCATTCATTTGTTGGCCGTGCGTCTAGCCGTCTAGCTATCCAAAATTCATATTCACCAATTTTTCAACAATAATTTTTCGATGCTACTAAATTGTTATTAAAAATTATTATCATATAAGACTTTCGAAATCTAATAATATCAACTACACATTAAACTACAATTTTTTTTTTTTGTCAACACCGAGTTAACTGGTACATTACAACCTTACAAGTTTGAAACAAACGCATTGTCTACTTCTCTCTCGATTTGAATTTCAATTTTCATAATAAAAAATTGATGATTTATGAATAAGGACAAAATATCTCGTTTGTATTTATCCAAATACTATTTGGTAATAAATGTAATTTCAAAGCTCAAGTCATATACTCAATCTTCTGCATATTATTTTCAAATTACATTTATTGCTTCAAACACCTCATTTTAAATTATTTTCTACAAGAATATTTAATACTATGAAAGCTAGATGAAACTAATCCTACTAATTAATTAATATACATGATTACATTCAATGAGACCCTCTCTCATCTTGCGTGTATCTTCTCTTCTGTCTATATATATATAACAGCCACTAACATGAAGACATCAAACTATCTCTCTTTAAATCTCAAGAAACAAGAACAAGAACAATTGTAGACTACTAGTCTTTACCAAGGTAAGCTAATTTGGAACCCGAGATCCAAGTTAATTTGTTCTCATCGAAAAACTTTTGTTTCATCTATATTCAAATATTGTTAGTCTTTGATTGATCGATAGAAAAAATAAGTATTCAATTGATCAATTCTTTTTATATATATACATGTTTTATAAACCATCGATCTCCATCTAAATTTTTGTTTTATTGTGTTTCATATTCTGATTTTCTTGTAGAATAATATATCAACATACATAGTACTCTTCTTGGAAGGCAAGGAACATGAATCAAGAAGCTGCGAGTAACCTTGAACTTGATCTGAAACTAAATATTTCACCATCGTTGGATTCATCTTTGCTCACTGAGAGTTCATCGTCATCGTTATGCTCGGAGGAAGCTGAGGGTGGAGGAGGAGAAGCTAAATCAATGGTGGTCGTTGGTTGCCCTAATTGCATCATGTACATCATCATCTCTTTAGAAAGTGACCCTAGATGCCCTAGATGCAACAGCCATGTTTTGCTTGATTTTCTCACAGGAAACCATAGCAAGAAGAACACTAATTAAGAAAAAAAACAAAACAAAACAAATTAAGAATGTTCTTTTCCTTTCTTTCTTTTTTTAAAAAAAAATTTGTTGCCACATTTATTGATAGTTTGAATTAATCTACGATGAACGGATATGTTCATAAATTGAAATATATATCTTTTGTATTATAAAACATCTTTAACTTCATTTGTAATATTGACTGGTTAGCAATGAATATAAGTTCTTGTAGAAAATTAAGCCATTAATATACTTTGCAACGGGGTAATTACAAATTAATAGACTACTTTAATCAATCATTAGCGGTGGATTAGTAGCTATTATAATTATGGAGGTGTCATTGTGTCCTCATCTAAAAGTTATCGTATTCGGTTTATAGGATGCTAGATATTTCTTGATTATTGCGATATTTAATTTTATAAATGGAAAATGGTCGTTGTTGACTTGCTGTAAGTTCAATGTATATGTACATGGCACAATTAATTATGTTTTTAATATGAAAAATGTGGAACAATGACTTTTTTTCCTTTTCCTTTTTTTGCACTAAGTAATTCTAGCGCTAAATGCGAAGTATGTACATATATATATACACATCATACATCAAACAATAAATAGGTTTGGTTTACTTGTTACCAAAGTTGTTGAACTAACAAATTAAATGTTTATAAAAACATGAAAAAGAGTTATGCTTATTATAAATGTGAAAAATCTTCACCTAAACTTACTAAAAAAAATGCATGTTGGTTTCACATTAATGTCGGATTCAACATTAAGTGTGTTTTGTTCCTTTCCCCAACTATCAAAAGAAAGAACACGTAACGTTTAAGTAGATTTCTCACATTTTTATCATTATATATTTACCCTTACTGGCAATTTCAATTGGAAAACCAAAACCAAAATACTTCAAAAAAATTTGGTGATGATGATCTATCATTCAACCAACTATAAAACGAATAAAAGTCACCTGTTGGCTACTACTATACAACGAACAATAAAACGTATCGCTAATTCATATCGCTGCCTCGCTGGTCGTTGTTAATTACTAAGAATCATGAAACAAAAATGATACAAATTAAACTATCAACAATTATTAGTCTACTCTTCTCTACCTATCATCAGGGCCGGCCCATGGGTAAAGCCCATGAAGCAAGGGCTTTAGGCATCAAATAATTATAAGTAGTTTTAAAGACATCAATTTTTAAAATGTTACTGTGGTCTAGTGGTTAGATTGAAGTCTTTTGTTGTACAGATCATGGTTTCGAATCCCATACATGTTGAAATTTGTATTTTTTTTTTATAACAGCTTTTGTTAATGGGCCAAAAAAATTTTTACTTTAGGCACTCAAATAGTTTGGGCCGGCCCTGCCTATCATCTATTAGTGGCTGCCAAAGTTTAAACACTAAACAAGTAATAGTAGGTCAACGTTTTAGCTAGATATGCTTAATAATGATTCAAACTCAAATATTGTTAGTATCTGTAATTAACAAGGCATATCATTAATTAATGTAAACATATTAAAATTTAATTGGTCTGAGCTCTTAGCTTTTTTTTTTACTTGAAACACTAAAAAACAAATATTTGAAGCACTAAGTGACTAGAACTACCCAAAATTGTTGTGATCACTGCGATCATTAAGGTGCAAGTAGAACTTTGAATGTGATATTATATAATACCATTTCAAAATACTTCTTTCGGATAACATAATTTGAAACTTTCTTTAACCCGCTTAAAACATCTCTTGATGTAAACATTCAAGATATAATAACAAAATGCATTAATCAATAATCATATATATGCCACCTATCACTCAATTAATGTTTTTAGTTAACTATAATTTTGTGGGTGTGACAAAAGTGGTGGCAAATCATCGCTCGACACTATCACAAATCAATCCTATACTAATATTTGGGAAGTACATTCTAAGGATCATAACGTTGATTTTGTAAGAAATTACAATATATGCCATTAGATAATTCTAATCATAATCATTTTATTTCATGTCACTAATATATATTAACGGGTCAACGGGTCAAACGGGTTTAAAGATATTAAAAAATTTTGTTTATATGTAATTCGAATTTATAAAGAAAATGTTATTTTGAGTTATAGTAATCATATATTAACGTCCTAAGTTATTAATAAATTATTCAAAAATGTTATATACTAATCCATTATTCGAAAATGTTATTGAAAATGATATATCATTGATTTTTTTTTTATATAATTCGAATTTATAAAGAAAATATTATTTTTAATTATAGTAATCATATAGTTCGAAAATGTTATTGAAAATGTTATATACTAATCCATTATTCGAAAATGTTATTGAAAATATTATTGAAAATTGAAAATGTTATTGAAAATTGAAAATGATATATCATTGAAAATGTTATATAATTCAAATTTATATAAAAAAAAAAGTTATTATTCACGTATAGAGTTAAGCAAAAGGTATATTATTCGAATTATATCTAAACAAAAGGTATTATTCGAATTGGTGTATTACTTCAATTCGTAATCTTTGAGAATATTTTCAGTTTCCTTAAAATCTTTTATCATCAATTATTGATTTCGTTTGTTATATTATGTTTCTTATAATTTAAAATTTTGTTTTGCTTAATCACGCATGGATATAATCTGTAAGTCAGTTTCCTAAAAATCCTTTAAAATATATTTTCAAATCTTTTTGTTATATATGTTATGATTCTAGATTCCTACTAATCTAGAATATACTTTTTACTAACTATTGTCTAACTAATTTAATCTAACTAATATATTTCCAGATCACCTAGAAATATGAGTTAAGTTAAATTATTTTGGAAAACATATGAATTAAAATTGTTCCCATCATGATTTAAAATTAAATAACAAAATACATAACAAAATCCATATTCTATATTTCTAATATGATTTTAATACTAAACTAAATTTCCGGGAAAAAAAAAATTCATAGTTATAGGAATATATTTGGTAAGATTGCAATCTTTCGATATTTTAGCAAATACAATTTAAACATAACTACAAAATATGGAATGTAATCCTATCAAATAACAAAATTACGGAATGCTGATTTAAAATTTTTTATACATTAAATTGAAGATTAAATTGAGATATTTGAATTTATGAGAGCATATTCCTAAACATAAACTAAATATTGATGTATTCTTTTCTAACTTAAAAAAAATAACAATGCATAAGCCGACCTTTTTTTATTATATATAGAGCATTTCATTTTTATCATTCTAAATAACCTAAAGTTACTCCAAAAAAATTGCTCACAAAAGACAAAAAAGCAAAAAATGGTTGTTGGATTCATATACCACAACGACATTTCAAAACAAAGTGGCACATCCAGGTCAAGATCCACCACCCATGGAAGCAATATACAAAGCATACCGTAGATGAATATGTAAGTCTCTAAAACTATAGTATTGATGAACTATCTATATATACATTTTTGGAACACTTTTAGCAAATAAATTCTGGGGTTGGGCAGTATTTACAAAGAATGTCATTGGCATTTACTATTACTTTTACAAAATTTAAATAAAAGATATTAACCAAACAATATCTTGCCTAATTTGTTTCTAAAAATCTCTACACAATCTTTCCATATATCTTCAAAAACATTTATAGCAAATATTTATATTAACATTTTACATAGCAATAAAAATACTAATTTATAATAATCAAAATATTCACATAGAAAAATCAAATACACATACAGGAAAAAGAACTATATCTATCATCATTTAAGTCGTTGCTTTATTTAAATAAAAAAAAAACATAAAAACTTGAAATCATATACTTTATATGATAAATTTAAAATATATATTAGTAGTATAAATTTAAAATCGTTCAAAGAACGGTATACTACGGGTGAGATCATAAAATTATTAGATTTTATAACAATAATAATTTATTTTCTTGGATTTTATAATACTAATAATTTAGCTAACGAGATAATATAGATGGGTTTATATGGGATGACGGGTTTGGGTCGATATTAATAAATAACGGTATATCACGGATGAAATCCTAAAATTAACAATCAAAATACAATTATACAATCTTAAACACAAAACAAAAGAAACAATATTAACAAAACAAATCCAACTTAAATTTAAAATTTTTATTTATAAAAAAACCGACCCACGGTATACTGCAGAGTAAAATATTCAAAATTTTAAAATCCACCATACATCGTTACTTAAAAAAAATGTATGTTTTCGTATCTATACTTCAAAAATTGATAGATAGATATCTACATTTAAAAATACAAATTAATATGATATATCTTCAGTTAATCTTTTAAAAAATAACATTACATTTTAAAAAAAATATAGCTCCGCGGTATACCGCGGATTAAATTCTAGTAAACTACATATTAATTAAAACATAACTTTACGAGCTTGAAAAATCGACTAAATTAAGTTTGTCCAACCACGCAAACACACACGTGTGTGTTATATAATAGATGCATATATATATATGTGCAGGTAGCTCATGACAGAAATTGACGGAACACAGAGTTAATCTGATTCTTTAAAAAAGTGAGAAGCTCAAATGCATGTCTTCATTATTTTATTATATTATCATCTCATGTTCCCAAGTCACGTGACATTCCTCACCCTCGATCTTTTTGCATGCCATTTCCACACATTTTACACAAATACTTATGTGTATAATTAAAAATGTCAGAGACATTGCATTATCATTCCTTTCGTCTAGTATTTTTAAAAAATGAAATAGATTTTGGGAATCAGTGAGGTTCGAATGTTTTTTTTTATTAAGTATTATGTCTAAGAAAGAAAAGTTGTTAATGTTACAAGTCATGCACATATCAAGACCTAACATCCAATCCAATAGTAACAATTGTTAAATCAGAGTTTAATTTAACCTTTCTCTTTCTCTCACTCACTTTTCCTTTTCACCACAAAGCACTAATTGTGTGACCATCATCCTAATGACTACTATATCTCTAAACCCTTCACACACTTCCTCAACACTTCTCGGCCTCTTCTTATAACAAGCCCCTGATCATAATATATATCCAAATCTATCATATTCCCTCTTGTCAAGATCAAACCAAAGTTCTGATTCCATGGCGAATCTGATTCGAACAGATCATCAGCAGCATATTCCAAAAAAGAGGAAGAGAGGGGAAAGTAGGGTTTTCAGGCTGAAGACGTTCGGAGAGTCAGGACATCCAGCTGAGTTGAACGAGTTGTCTTTTCGTGACAACCTCGCGAAACTACTTGATTTTGGTCACTTTGAGAGCTCCGGTCTCATGGGAAGTTGGTCTTTTCAGCTCGAGATTCAACGCCACCCAAATCCTCTTTATGTGCTTCTCTTTGTAGTAGAAGAGCCCATCGAAGCCTCTCTCAACCTCCGTTGCAACCATTGCCAATATGTTGGTGACGTCCTCTCTCTCTTTTCCCTTCTTTCTCTGTGTGTATACAATTTTTCTTTTGCATATCTATGCATGCGAATACATTTGTGTACATGAACTAAGATCATAAGCTGAAAATTTAGTAAGAATTGACCTAGCTCAACATGTAAGCATTTTTCTTTGCATATCTATACATGCTTACACGTACTTATGAACAAAAATAGCAATAATAATTTGATATGGTTAAAAGTGATGCATTTATATAAAGATCAAAAATATATAGTATACAATGGTTTATATGGAAACTTGCAGGTTGGGGAAACCAAATGATATGCAACAAGAAGTACCATTTCGTGATCCCCTCAAAGGAAACGATGGCCGCCTTTCTAAAACTGGAAGGTGGAGGCTACATTTTTCCTGAAAAGGAAAGTCTCTCCCATTTGGTTGACCTTCAAGGCCATGTCCTTCACGGCTTGTTTCACTCTAACGGATTTGGTCACTTGCTCTCTGTCAACGGCATTGAAACCGGCTCCGACATAACCGGTCACCAAGTCATGGATTTGTGGGACCGGCTCTGCACCGGTTTAAAGGCCAGGTACTAAGACTATATATATAGTTGTATATCATATAAACCATTCAACACAATTCTGCTAGTTTTCATATATCATAATGGATTTTTCCTAGCTATTAATTTGGATTTACACATAAATAATCAGTCATTTTATTTATGTTTAATATAGGAAAATAGGGTTGAATGATGCATCGCACAAAAAAGGAATGGAGCTGAGGCTGCTGCATGGGGTAGCAAAAGGAGAGCCATGGTTCGGTCGTTGGGGCTACCGGTTTGGGTCAGGGACATACGGAGTGACTCAAAAGATTTACGAGAAGGCACTTGAATCGGTCCGTAACATACCCTTGTGCTTGCTTAACCATCACCTAACCAGCCTTAACCGAGAAACTCCAATCCTCTTGTCAAAGTACCAAAGTTTATCCACTGAGCCATTGATAACTCTCAGTGACCTCTTCAGGTTCATGCTTAATCTCCATTCGCGTCTTCCAAGAGATAACTACATGAATAACTCCCGAAACCAAATCATTTCCATTGATAGTAGCAACTGCAGATGGTCTCAAAAACGGATCCAAATGGCTATCAAAGTGGTCATAGAGTCATTAAAAAGAGTCGAATACCGATGGATATCGAGGCAAGAAGTGAGGGACGCAGCTAGAAATTACATCGGGGACACAGGTTTGCTTGATTTTGTGTTGAAGTCGCTCGGGAACCAGGTGGTTGGAAACTATTTGGTCCGACGTAGTCTAAATCCGGTGAAGAAAGTGCTAGAGTATTGCTTGGAGGACATATCAAATTTGTTACCAAGTAGTAACAATGAACTCATAACCCTTCAAAATCAAAACTCAATGGGGAAGATGGCGACGAACGGTCACAATAAGATCACAAGAGGTCAAGTGATGAAAGACATGTTTTATTTTTACAAACACATTCTCATGGACTACAAGGGAGTTTTAGGCCCCATAGGAGGCATATTGAACCAAATCGGAATGGCTTCTAGAGCAATCCTCGATGCTAAGTACTTCATCAAAGAGTACCACTACATTAGGGATACATCGGCCAAAACATTACATTTAGATCGAGGGAACAAATTAGGAATATTCTGCACGATCGCATGGAAATGTCATCATCATAATAACGAGATTAAAATTCCTCCACAAGAATGCATAGTGGTTAAGAAAGATGCAACATTGAGTGAAGTGTATGGAGAGGCAGAAAGAGTGTTTAGAGAGATCTATTGGGAACTAAGAGACGTCGTGGTGGAGTCACTGGCAGATGGTCAAAGAGAGATCATAAGGGTCGATGAAATGGCCATGATGAATTGGAATAAAGGATTGGTGTTAGAAGGGAATGTAGGAATGATGATGAACATTGAAGTGATGAAATGTTATGAAGATGATGATAAAAAGAAGGATAAGAGAATTGAGTGTGAGTGTGGAGCAAAGGAAGAAGATGGGGAGAGAATGGTGTGTTGTGATATATGTGAAGTATGGCAACACACAAGGTGTGTTGGCGTTCAACACAATGAGGAAGTTCCTCGCATTTTTCTTTGTCAAAGTTGTGACCAACATCTTATTCCTCTCTCTTTTTTACCTTAAACCATTCATATATGTTAGTATAAACTTTCTTTTTCTAGCTTTAGGTCTACTCATAATACATAAATTATACTCCTCCATCGACGTGTATTTATTTGTGGGGAAATATCAAAGAAAAAACAACAACTATTATACCAAAACCAATTTAAAAAAAAAAAAAAATTTATAGATGAAATCCATTGCAACTAATAATCTTCTCTTTAACAAAAAAAAAAAAAAAAAAAAAAAAAAAAAAAACAAAACTATTAGATGAAAACCTATTGAGAAACAAATTTACAGAAAACAAGGACTTGAGGAAAATGAAAATGGGCTCAACGCAGGCTTCGTTGTTGCTATTAGATTGAAAATTTTGGGTATGCAAAACCTTAAAAGCCCAGTTAAAAGAGGAAAAGACAATTTTGTCCTTGTCACAAAACTCCGAAACAATTCATCTATAATTGATCTCTCTATGGAGTCTTCGTGAGCGACTTTGACGACGACGATTCACCTCCCCCAGAACTTGTTTGTGCTTCTCCTACGTTAGTTCTTCACTCTCCTCTTCTCCAAATGTGCAAATCTGTTTTCGTTTTCTGCTTGGTCGATGATTGAACTCTTGTTCTTCAATAGTTGCTGCAAATTGAGCGTGTCACTGTCAATTATTCTGAGTCACTAACCTTTACATAGAATTCATTGTCTCTATTGTTAGTTAAATTCTGGGAAATAAAATCATGAAATAATTGAGTGTTTCATGATTGAGTGTGAAGGCCTCTTCTACAAGCGCACACAACATGTTCGATGAAATGCTTAAGAGAAGACTAAATATATGTCTCTGGTTTTTCTTTGTAGGATGTGGAAACTTGGTCTTAGAAACTCAGCTGGTGCCATCGTAAACCCTCTCTATCTGGTTTTGTTTTGTACAGTGTTTCTTTTTATTTGTTTTCTCTTGCTGTTTCACAAATTACATTTATGTTGGGACAGATTCAAGCAGAGAAGCGGGTTCGGTTACTGTCCTCATTGGTGCTGTCGTCTCCATACCTGTTAAATACGAAAGTTGCTTTGCCAGGAGGACGCTCTTCAATGAATATTTACGATCCGAGGAAAGAAGAGATGGTAATACCTAACCAGGGGATGATGACGTATCCATCACGTTACATAGGATCGTCTAGAGGGTGGGTTGGTTTCATTAATTCTAATGATCCTAGAAGCCTCTATCTCACCAACATGTTCAATCACAAAGTCATATCCTTGCCTCCTATGGAGCCTGATTGTGCTGATAATATCATTATCAACATGTCGCTCTCCTCTTCCCCTGATGACTCATGTGTTGTGGCTATCAAGTTTTTTGGAGGTCGGATGTGTTTCTGTAGGCCTGGTGACTCAGCCTGGACCAAAACGGAAACTTCTTCAAAACTTTTGGATTGCTCCAGTGTCCTCTACTCCAATCGTGATTCCAAGTTTTACTTGACAACCTTTAGGCTTGTCTCCAAGCTTCACTTCACTGCCATAAAATTTGATGCTAGCACGTACAAGCCGCTGGGTCACCAAGATTTCCCTGAGGTGACTTATTACCACAAATTTGACCGTCTCAAGTTACCTGATTTGCTATGGTCGGAGTTTGAGCTGCTAGAGTCTTGTTTCCACACTGAACACTTGGTGGAGTCGCCTACCGGCGAAGTTTTTGACATCATGTGGTAATCAAAACTTTTTTCTTTTATTGCTTTCTTTCTTATTGACAAAGTGCATGACTTGGTTTGCGTTGAGGCAGGTTTATTCAGTTCTCCCACGGTACAAAGGCGGTCCATTGGAAGGACCATCATAAGCAATTGAAAAAAGAAGAGGTGGTGAAAAAAACAAAGAGGTTTATGGTTTACAGAGAGGATGAGGATTGTTACACGTATGACATTGGGGATCTCTGCATCTTCCTTGGTCAAAGTACTGAAGCCTTTTGTTTACAAGCGAGTATGTTCCCAGGCCTAAAGCCTAATTCCATTTACTTTGCTGCAGCTAATCATAGCGGTGTTTACGACCTTGCCACCGATGTAATCCATGATCTCCCTCTCACTAATACCCCTCTTATGTGGCTTGCCCCACTCTCACACTAGCTCTCGTAATATGTTGTAGTCTCTGCATTTGGAATTGATAAGTTATTTCTTCATTAACATTGAACAATAAAAAGTTATTGCAAACACAGGAAATGAAAGAAAAACAGTCATGTTTAACTATATATGATCCTACACGATGTTCAAGCAGACAATACTAGAGAAGATGTGTTCTCTGTTTTCTGAAAATTCGAGAATCTAAAGGATTAAAATGGGCTCAACGCAGGTCGTTGCTAGAATTTTGGGCATACAAAACCTTTAAAGCACAATAAAAAAAAAAAAAAGAGATAAATTAAAAAAATCGAATATTGTCCCAAAAGGAAATATCACCTAACTATCTTTGATACTATAAGATATGTAGTTATCGTAATCTAATTAATCAACCCTTTAATGCGTTTTTAGTGCGTTACATATTCAGTGTGTTTATTGGTAATATAGCAATATTCCTGGTAAGTTCATTGGTCGTAAGTCGTAACGTTGTCGGCGTAATGTACTTCGTTTAATACAACGACTTGAATTGCAATAATTGGATACAAAGGAGAAGCCAACTTAGACCAATAGACCGAGTCAAGAAACACAGTGAATCAAAACGTGCGCGTTTCTCACACTTCTCCTCCTCCTCTCCTTCCTCGTAACACACTCTTACTTACACCTATACATATATATAACTAAACCTTGCTGATTAACAAAATCATCACGAAAAAAAAAAAACAGAGACTTTTAATACACGACGACGAAGAAGAAGAAGAAGAAGACCTAAAAGATCGGGACTTTCGATTTCCGATTTGAAACTATGATCAATTCCGATGTTGGTATCGTGATTCGTGACGTTTGGGCTGACAATCTCGAGTCAGAGTTTGAACTAATCAGCGGAATCGTCGAAGCTTACCCATTCATCTCCATGGATACAGAATTCCCCGGCGTGATTTTCAAGGCAGATCTCGCCGTTCTCCGTCTTGGAAATCCTAATTATCTCTACAATCTTCTCAAATCCAACGTCGATGCTCTAAGCTTAATCCAAGTCGGTCTTACTCTCTCTGACGCCGACGGAAACCTCCCAGATCTCGGCGTTCAAAACCGTCGATTCATCTGGGAATTCAATTTCCGTGACTTCGACGTGGAGCGTGATCCACACGCTCCTGATTCCATCGAGCTGCTCCGTCGTCACGGGATCGATTTCGAGCGGAACCGTCGCGAAGGTGTTAAATCGGGGAGGTTCGCGGAGCTGATGATGTCATCGGGGTTGATCTGTAACGAGTCTGTGAGCTGGGTGACGTTTCACAGCGCGTACGATTTCGGTTACCTTGTGAAGATTCTCACGCGCCGGGAGCTTCCGGTAGCGTTGCGTGAGTTTTTACGGTTGCTTAGAGCTTTCTTCGGTGAGAGGGTTTATGATGTGAAACATATTATGAGGTTCTGTGAGCAGAGGAGATTGTACGGTGGTTTGGACCGGGTTGCTCGGTCGCTTGAAGTTAACCGGGCGGTTGGGAAATGTCATCAAGCCGGTTCGGATAGTTTGCTGACGTGGCAGGCGTTTCAGAGGATGAGGGATTTGTATTTCGTTGAGGATGGGGCGGAGAAACACGCCGGAGTTTTGTATGGTTTAGAGGTTTTTTGAGGAACTCAATTAATCATTCTTGTTATTCATTAAAACAGTGGAAATCGAAATTATTTTATTCATTCTTCGTTTATTAACCAAAATCATAAACGAAACAAATCAATTTGGTTTTCTATTTGTTTATAAATTAACTGAGGCCAAAATGAAACTTTTAATTAACTTTTTAAGTTTACATTTTGTGCAAAACTCTGTTTAAACCTAACACAAAACCAAAATTAAAATTTAAAAATCCGAATGGAAACGGAATAAAATAGGAAAACTGTATTTGACACCTAAAAACTCAAATGTGATTTTTTTTTTTTTAATTAAAATGTGAATTATTGCTTAACATATTCTTACTCTTCAAAACTTTGTGTGCACTGAAATATTGTTTGAGCTTGCCTTTGAGTTTGAGGTATAACTTTGTAATCATAATTCACATTGTGTAAACCATAATCCACTTATCCTCTAATGAAATTGGAAAACATCATGCAAATCTTGATTTTTGTGGTTGTTGTTTAATGGTTTACATATAGTCTTGCTCTTGCATGCGAATCATAAAATCAAATTATTTACGATATTGTATCATCTATATATATAGAGAGAGATACATGAGGATCAGTTCCTCATCTTAAACGAAGAGGTTTGGTGTGTGTCATTATCATTACTATCAAGAGGATTGTTAACATATAGACGAAGCAATCTCCCAAGTGACTTCCCACGACGGTCGTGTGCTGGCCGTAGCTGTGAACAGACGTCCACAAAAGCACGGACGATAAGATTGTGTTGAGGAGAAGGGTTTATGTCCAAGAAACACCTTAAAAGCTCCTTAAGATCATCTTCAGTCTCGATATATCTCTCTTCGATCATCTGGTTCATCGACTTCTTGTAATCTTCGAACGGATTGATTGATTCCTTAGCCATCGCGACGCTTTCATCGATCTTAGGACATGGGCTGCGTAAAACCGTGGGAGAAACCGGTGGTCCCGGGGTGTAGTAGTGGTTGTGAGAGGAAGGCAGAACGGTAGAGCCGCAACCGCAACAACCACACGCCATAAAAATTGGACTAAATATGGTTTTGAGTGCATTCTTCATCTTCTTCTTCAAATGCATTTTTTTACCAAAAGGGAAGAAAAAACAAGTTGAGATTATTGAGTGAGGATGTTGGTGTGGGAAAGTTTGTTAATAGAGGAACCTTTTTTCTTTTAACTTCGCTTGGAGATTCAGCATTGCTCATTGCTTTGGAGATGCACAATTTTGATGGATTTCTCTTTTTCTAAGAAAAATAATTCCATCTTGAGGTAAATTCAAAGTTATATTGTGCGTCATTATCAGGGACTGGACATAGAAACCAATTCCAACCAAAAATGAAATCACTCAAACCAAACCAAACCAATTAATAATAGGTTTATACTGAAAAGTGAAAACCAATTTGAATCAGAATTCAAAACTTAATAAACCAAATTTTTTTTGACTAAAACATAACTAAAATCTCGAAAACCGAAACAAAATTAAGCAAAATACTAATTTAACTGAAATTATAAAACTACCGAAATATAATTTGATTTCGATTCCGTAACCATTTAGTAAACCCGACTGAAAGAAATCTAAAAGGTTTTGCACTTTCACATGAACAAGACCAATACTAAGAAATCAATGGGTTAAGGCTAATTCTATATAAGCCTGAGAAGCTAAGAAAAAAAAATGAAGAATACAACGAGGTGGTTGGTTTCTCTACTTTTATTTTTCAATCTCTATCCTATGATAACGCAATGCAGCTACTGTACAAGTACAACATGAACTCTCGATTCACTGAAATCAGATTCTCTATGTACAGATATATGGTGGTACTTGTAATGTGGTATGGTAACTTCAGCTACCTGTAGATGATCTCGTAGCAGTGGAATCTTCTGGTGTTGGGCTCGATGGAGTTTTTGGCTGCTCCAAGGCTGTGTCGCTCGGTCCAGCGTGGTCTTGATCAAATGTAATCATCTGGTTCCAGTCCGGTCCAGCTAATGATGAAAGAGTTAAGGAGCTCTAATTGGGGAGGAAAAAACTCGAAAGCTCAAAGAGAGATTAGATTAGATTAGATTAGATCAGAGAAAGTGACAGAAATCAAGGATACATTCATCTGGCCACATGTCTGTGATGCTGACTTCGCCGACCTCTGATCGAAACCAGTAATCTACACCGAGCTGTATATAATGTAACATATAGGTAAATAATGAATTAAGTCAAGCATGATTTTCAAGATATGATCCTTGTTGCTTTCTGAAGTTTCTGGACTGTGATTATGTATATGGTGAAAATAATTTAAAGCTGAGGAAGCAGTTGGGACTTACATCCAAATCTGGAGGAACAATCTTCATGATACCATCGACAAAGTCATGAGATTCGATATCAGAGTAAACTCTTTGCGTATCATCAAGTTCCTGTGTTTCCATGTTCCTTTCGGTGCTGTCCTCTTCCATTGGCATTGCTACATCATGGTTCTCAGGAAGACCAGATGTTGATGGAAGGTTTGAAGGTTCATCAGGAACATTTGAAGGTTCATCAGTGTGAGGAATGTCCTCAAAGCTCTCTTCGAATTGACTAAAAACGCACAATATAAATGTCAGTCTCGCTTTCATGTTACAAATTTATCAATGGCAAGCATAACGTTTGAGGACAGGGTTACCTGACTAGGTACACGTCTATTGGTCCCATTGTGCTTCTCAGAATGATTCTGTATCTTCTCTGATAACCACCAGCCTGATTAATGGCAGGATAAGAGATAGAAATAGTTATAGACAGTGCATCGCTCATTTGGTGTTGTGTGTTCTTAAGCTTACCTCATCAGGATCTGGCACCTCAAGAGTTGTTCCATGCGGTGCCTTTACAGCTATCAGCGTCTTATTCTAAAAATAGGTATGAGACACGCCACAAAAACATTGTTTCCTTAGTGAGAAGAATGCAAGGCAAAGAGAAACACGTAATTACTAATAGGACCAAACCTGGAAGCATGGTAGGTTCTTAATGTCGTTTTCAGTGACAAACAGTAACCTAAAAAAGAGGGGCGTCAGAACAAACAGATATGTTCTATTGTACCTTTCGCAAAAAGAAATTAGCAGGAGAAGCTTACCTTTTGTTGTTTTCATCCTCACTCAAGCTTGTTAATCTTTCTTGTGATTCTCTGCAACCAGGTCGATTCTCAACAAGATACAAAACAGCAGAAAAGGAAAGAAAAATGATCTACGAGAATACCTGATTTGGTCATCTAATCTTGCCTCCTCAGCTGTGAGGTTTAGTACTTCATCCTGTAAAAGGATTGAGAGTTACTAAAATGTAAAATTGGTAACAGGAATTTATAAAACACAAATAGTTTTTCCGAACCAAAAACCCAAAACAAGAAATCAATGCAAGTGACTGAGATCGAAGAAAAATTGCAGTAACCAATTATCCACTTTATCAACAGGTTGAAACATTAAACAAAAATTTAATCATTCAAGTGTTCTAGTAGGGGTGTACAAGCAGAGCTTGTGCTTACATGTCATTGATGTTTGTGTTTGTGGTATATTTTCTAGTATCCTAGTTACCCCCTAACACATTTAGGTCTCAGAAAACAGGTATAACAAGAACAATACTAATGCAGATTCATACGATGTTCAAGAAGACAATGTAAGCTAGCATATACCCTAAACGTAAAAATAATAATGAAACTGGTGATAATACTGAGCATTGCATAACAGAATTTGCAGTGAAATGTGTGATTGAAAGGTAAATGAATATACATAAGCATGTTCTGTACCTGTAGGTTAGCTATGTTTTCGATTGTTTCTCCTGGTTTTGAGACATCGAGACCCCTAAGAAAGACAAGAAAATTCAGAGTACCGTCACTCACACATGAGGCATCAAATGGAAGGAATCCAAGATTTGACAGTTGGAAGACATGCTTACTTCCACTGAATTCTGTTCTTGAGCGTCTTCTCTATCAAACCAATTCCTTCTAACACATTGGTTATATCATATATCCGTCTCTTTTGTACCTGCAACATCAACAGGAACACGCCAGTTAAGATATGACAGAAAGTACTACATCAAGAAGACAGTCTAGATTTTAAATATGTCACCTCTAAAGTATCAGCTGCTTTGTTTAGATCAAGAATACCATCCTCTGCTTGTTTTATCAAATTGATAAACTTCTTAGTCAAAAGACCTGAAGCAGATTAAATCATTATAAATAAAAACTTATTATCCAAAAGAACATTTCTTTGAACATTAGTTTGTGAAAGAAGTTATTACCTAGCGAACTATCATATCGACAAGTACCAGCCTGTGCAAAGTTATTTCCAGGAGAACCTGCCAACACAAAAGATCCTTCATACTACATTGCAATAACTCCCACTCTTTCTTTCATTGCAATTAAACGAATAAATAAGGTTTAGAACAGATAAGTACGTAAGTAACAGTCGACCATGTAGATAGAAAGTAAACACAGAGCATTCAAGACCAAACTCACCTGCATTAGAACCAGAAGCTTGCGTTCCAGACTTATTAGACTTCACTGACCTAGAAGTTTTCTTGGCCTTCCCTCCTTTCCCTGATACAGGTGTTTGAAGAACACCAGTATTCAATTCATTGGGCTCAGCTATTTCGTTAACCGAATCTGTCTTACGCTTCAGCTGCCAATAAAGTCACCAGAATTGAACAGTTAAATACATCAAAGAATTGAACAGAATCTTATCCAATTAGCATCATACTGTCACTAGGCTGAAATCTAAAAACATAGACAAAACTTCAAATTCCAAAAGTCCAACATAGCTAAATTCAGTAAATTAACTAAACATAAGCAAAAAAAAAAAAAAAAAAAAAAAAAGGATAAATCTGCTCTAAATAGCAATAACAGTAACACCACAAACCCTAAGTTCAGCAACTAAACTGTCAATATTAACTTGCAATGCTAAATCCTACACTGCAAACGAGCCAAATCAAAGGAGACCAAACGCAATTAACACCACCGGAAACAGATCCCGACGCAACTCTCATCAAAATCTAAAGCTACGACATCCTCAAAATCTAAATCAATATAATCAAAGCCTCACACACAATCGAAACACGAGAATTATAAAAGCAAAATTGAGAAGAAAACAAAAAAAAAGACTTACAGTAGATTTAATAACAATCGCATCAGAGACGACAACCTGATCAGCAGCTCCACCTCCCGCCGCATCAAACCGGTGATACTCGCCGGGAGCAACTAACGGAGGTTTCATAGACGACAGAGAAGGATGAAGCTGCCGCTTAGAAGGTGGAAATTGTGGAGGTTCTTCAGACATGAGAACGAATCTCGATAAAAATCCCCCAAAAAAAAAAAGAAACGGCGGAGATTGTCCGGGAATTCGGATCTCCGGTAAGCAGAGATCCTAATAGGGATTAGGAAGCAGATCTACGGCGAGAATTACGGAGATTCCGGGGAGAGAATGTGAAGAGATCGGCGAATCGAAAAAAAGCGGGAGAGGAGAAGAAGAAGAAGAAGGATAAAAAAAAAAAAAAAGAGACGGTGGAAGAGAAAGAGAGAAAACGAGGGAATGAGTTGCGTTTGGTTCAGATATTGATGTGGAGGGAATTAGCGCTTTCTCTTGTACACAATCTTTTACCAATATCTCAACTAAATTATAATCCTATCTATATTAAAAATATATATTATTATATCTGTTTATCAAATAAATAAATAAGTCAACGAAGTTAATAAAGCAATGTAACTAATTTGGATACAGTTTTATTTCCTTGAGATTGAGGAGGGAAAAAAAAATGTGAATTTTGGATTTATTCATGTTAAGAATTGGAGCATAATTGATAATTCCATCAACTGTTGCATCCGTTACACGCGTTAAAGCGTGAGCAATTATCGTCAAAATCTGTCGAACATAATACGTTTTTATTTTTTAATATTCGTAGAAGGGCCAAAAATATAAAAATGAAAATAGGACATTGACAAAAAAAAACCTCAATAAATTTGAGCATTATAAAGCAATTTATGTTTTGTCTCAATAAAATCCAGTTAAACCCTAAGAAAAATTATGTTCATGAGTGTCGCATGATTTAACCACTTTATTTTGGAACCTCGAAACCTAGGGATTCCGAATCATAGCACCAAGACAATAGAAACATGTGTCATCAAAATGCAGACACTTGGATCTCATTTGAATGCTATACTGTTAGAGAAGATTAAATATATATTTATAGAGAGTTTCCAAAACACAAGCTTAAGTATGAGTAATCAAAAGAGTTACTAAGACTTTGGAAGGCTTCATACAAAACAAACACAGACACCAATAGAACTTTTTTACTTGAACAAATGGGCAAGATCAGGGTCATCTAAATCCACATCAAGCGATCCATTTAACCGCATAAACTCGATGTAGCTATCTGGAGGAGTGATCGCACTAGTGTTGTTCTTCGGTTTGAATCCATGAAATCTTTGTAGATCTCTCGCGAGCCAACGTAGAAAAACTTTGTCCAATGGAGGTACAATCTTCAAGTGGATCTCTTCCCGTTCTTCTTTCACCGTTGTAGCTTTGTTTCCCATCTTGGGAAACCCCGATAATTCCTGCATAAAGAATTGAAAACACTGAAGATCACATAATCCAGCTCCATGAAGATAAATCATCTATTCTGCAAGATAAATTTGCTATATTCATAACCCTAAGCTTAACACAATCTACAATTTTAAGACACATTCACACTGATGTTGCAAATGTACAACCTCCGATAACACAACATTATAAACATCTGCAAAAGGAGAGACTAAAGAGTTTCTACAGAAACTATACAAGTATCACCCTTGGGACCATCAAGGCCTTTCATAAACCTATATTGACAAACCAACCTATGTAAATCAATTCAGCATCCATTTTACAATGACATAAGCATCAATAGCCTATCTTGTTCCAATATGTCAGAAAAATCATAAGAACCTCAAGGACAAAGCATTGTCTCAAGATCAGACATCACGACGAATTCAAGTCAATTCTTCAAGATGGTGAACACTGAACATGATAATATGATTAATATCTTGTAATTAACGATATCATCAGGAAAAAATCTTAAGTTTCTAGAAAAATCTCGTCTTCTGAAACCCATAATTTCTCTTATAGAAATCAAATCATTCATGAATACTAAAAGCCCCAAAGCATTGAGGAAATTGGAAAAAAATACTTCAATTTCTATCATCACTATATACCAAAAATAATCAGGTAAGAACCTAGCCAGAAAATTAAGCGTAGCGCTTTAATATAGATTTAGAGAGTTTTACCTATTTTCAATCAGAGAGACAAAACATCAGAAACCGAAAGTGAGTTGAAAAAGAATTTCTGACCAGACACTAGAGAGCGCTTTGCAGTGAATCTTCTCCAGTCCAAACAAAACCGGTGTCGTATCTGTGGCTGTATGTCATTTTTGGGCTAAGCCCAGTAACAACATAAAAAGCCCATTAGCTTTCACGTTTTGGTTTTGGGCCAACTGTTATGGTTTAAACGTGGATACATAGCAACAAACGCACAAAAAAGTGAACTACACTCTACAGACAAGTGTGGGTTTAGTTGCAAAGTAACAAAGTTTATTGACGAATATTCGCTAAAGTAGTTATCAATTTTTCTTTTTTGCTTTCAGAATATGTAAAACCAAACTTTTATAAAATAACAAAAAGTTCTAAAGGTGGGAAAAAAGTGTTTTTCTTTTCTCTCACGTTATCAAGTTGAAGTTAGTTTTTGTATTTGTATTTTATGAAAAGAAATTGATGATATATGTCTAAACTCTAAAGAAAAGAAAAGGATTATTGTGCTTCACGCTACATACACCGTAAGGCGTGCAAATGTCGTCACTCGTCACCAACATGACGATGATTTCACAACTCACATGTATTATTAAGTCATCTGTTACATAGTATCATTTTTTTTATTACACAATATCATACTTTTAAAATAAGTTAAAGTCTTTAAAGTTCTTACAAATCAGCTCCTTGTTATAGCTCACTACATTTAAAAAAAAAAAACTAATAATGTCTGCAAATTATAAGAGAAACTAGGATAATCATTTTTAAAGCTAAAGCTATCTATAAGAAAACAATTCTGAGAAGAAATTAATTTACTCGGGAAGTCCGCATTCAAGTTCATATGACAAAAAGTCTTTGAAGCTAAATATTTAGTGCCCAATAGGCAACAGGCCAACAAACCAATAGCAACAAAAGGAACTGATGTTTAGTACAAAGTGAACTGTGTATATATGATTTTGTCATGTCCCCATGATATATGATCCGAAAATATCTTCTAGTACATTTTCAGAATTTTCTAATCCAAAAACATATGAAACTATTTTTAACAATAAGTATAAACTCTAGTTAGCTAATTTTAAAATATACTTTTGGGGTGTTTTATATTTAAATATTTCATTCCATAAAGACCAGCAGCTGCATAGTCGTTGTCATGTGAGTCATATATCCAACTAGAAAATAAAACCACTCTTGTAAGCTTTGCCTAATCCTGACAATTTCGTTTGCAGACTGCAGAGTACTAAAAATGTCAACTAATTAATTACATTCATGGGTTAAATTATATCTATATTATCAATACGCTAAAACCCATAGAAATTTAACATGAGTATTAACTAAATAAGGATCTTTGTTTATCATACGTTTGTCTAATTAATTAAAAATTATTTACTACTAAAAAACTATATTAATAAAAAGGAATACATGTGATGATGTGAACTTACTATATGCTAAAAGAAAAGGTTTAATTAGCGTTTTGTTCTTTTAAGTTTTTAACAGCCTTTAGAAAAATTAATTAACAAGCCAAATCAACAACAATTTTCTCTAATTTACCTTTTATATCATTTTATTCCTTAGGAAAAAAAAGACTCTTCAAGATAGGTCAACAGCACATCGCTGAACAAGCTGGTACTTGATCGCCGGACCGGCGCCGACTAACTTTCCGGTGACGGTAATGAACGCCGGACAGTTAACGTGGAGGTGATAACCGCCAGAGACCCACGAGCCCACTTTCCACCTAACCCAACCGTCTATCTTGATGTTGAGAAGCACCATCCCGGCGATTAAATCTTCGTTCAACGCCGGAGACAGGTAAGGAGCCACCGGCACGTTGGAGCCAATCAGAAACGGTGACCACACCGTCGCTTCCAGATGTCCTTGATACGTCGACGGCAATAGCCTCGCCACCGTCACCTAATTAATAGGAAAAAATAAAGTTAGAATTAATACATTAATACGTAAATGCTTAGAAGAAGAAAATCAAAACCTTATAAATGTTTTAAAGTCTTTTAAAACATTTTAGAAACTGTAAACATATTATAAAAGACTTTATTTTTTCTTGTATTTCAACTTTAATAGCTTCTGCCAAATTTCTATTTCCCTTAACAGTAAGTACTCTAGAGCCTTCTATTCTTGTAAATATTCTATAATTATTCGTGAATAAAGGATGACATTTTAAGAAGATGAAGAAAAGAAAAGAAAATTAATTCTGCAAGTGGTACACAAATATGCATATGTTGGTATTGTTCGTTGGTATTGGTTTTTCAACATTGCAGATTTGTTATTATAAATACAAAATGATGATAAATATTAAATTTAACAGGAAAAAAATTGTGAAATCGAATTGATTCTAAGAAATTCTTAGACATATGTAAAGATGGGTGATGTTTTGTGACTTTAACGTTAAAACATACTAAAATTAGCTGATCCATACATACATTGCACCAAATAATACAAAAGAAGATAGCAAATATCGCAAAATGCTACCTCTTGGTTTCTGTATGTGGCATAGATGTCGAGACGGTCATAGAAAATTCCGATCTTGTCGTTTGGGTTGCGAGAAGAGAGAGTGACCTGAAGATTTGAAGAGAGGAAATTTGGCTGAGAAATGTTGAAGTCGTTAATGGTTACGTCTTGGAGGACAAAACGCGGTCCGTGCGGGTGAAGTATAGCCCAAACCAAGAACACCACGAACGCAACCGCCACGATTAGGCCAAGCAATCCCCCCCATACTATGCGTCTCATCCTCCTCTCCTCATAGTCGTAGTGTTGGTTGCAGTCTCTCCCCGTCATTGTAGAGTTTGTTTGCGTTTGGATGATGCAGAGAGATTTGTTTGTTTGGTGTGTGAAGAAATTGGAAGGTTAGTAATGGAGTTTTGAGGGATATTTATGTAAATGGAGCCTCGTGAGTAAATGTATCATAATTATTAATTAATCCTATGTTTCTATTTGTAACCATATTATTAAATTATCACACAACCATAGTCTTGACTCTTGCGACACTTTCTTTAATTTTTTCAATGGGCTTCTTTTTAACTTTAAGCGAAATTAGGAAAAGCTGTTTTTAGTCCTGATCAACTCTGATGGAAGATAAAAAAAAGAAATTCACAGTTTTTGGTATTAATTAATAATTACCACGAAAAGTACTTTGGAGGAGACGACGAATCTTCTTTATGCAGCTACGCATATCGTTTTTTATTTTTAGAAATTTAGAAATAAATAAGTTTGTATATCACATTCAGATAACATATATGGGCCGACCAAATGGAAATGACGGTCTGAATAAAAAATTGTGGCCCTTTCAATAATATTAATTTTTTAATATATGTAAAATAATATTCAAATATAATTTAAACAATAATCTTTAGTTTCTATAAAAAATGATTAGCTGGGTTTAAGTTATAACCATTAAATGTCCAATACTGATATTGGTAATCCTAACTCTTCGGTAATATATAGCCCGCTTGTCTTCTGCATACAAAATATTGTTAAGGTTGGTAAATATATCAAGAGACGGTTCTCAAGCAGTTTGTACTTTGTACAAAAAAAGATGTTCTCCGTCTTGGTTACTATATTTGGTTCCATCATTAGTTCTACTTAACTCAAAAAACCTCTAGCTTGAAAACAAATTTGCACCCATCGTTGAGCATGTGATTGCGGAGACCCTTAAGCATAGAAAAGAGTTACTAACAAAGCGCTTAATCATTTCTTATTTTCAACTTTTTAAAAAAAAAAATTGAAAACGAAGAAAACAAAATTCACTAACCCTAAAGGTAAGTACTCGTAAAAGAGAAAGATTCATAATCAGAGAGAAAAACTAAAAGTATGAGAGTGGAAACTCCTCCCGGAATAAATACTACTCACACGGCCTCATATATCCGAGCAACGTTCCCTTCACATTTCCAGCCGGATCTGCCGTGAAATTCACCGGTATATTGCCGCAAGTCAAGATCAAGAAACCATCTTTGTGATGGGATCAAGGCCTGGGCAAAAATATGGATCCACATAGAACCGAACCGAACCGAACCGAAATTGATGGGTTCGGTTCGGTTCCGGTTCTAGTGAAAATATCGATTGGATCTTGAATCAAATATCCATGGATATCGGTTCGGTTTGGGTAGGAACCGATATCCATTCGGTACCCGAAATATAGCCCATTAACCTATATTTATATAACCCAAAGTTTCAAACCCATCAAATCCTAAACCTAACTATCCAAGCCCAATAGCCCACCATAAACCTAACCCAAAGTCTTTCTTAGCCTCTTATATATTCCTCTTTGCGCCTAAACCTAAAAATCCTACTTTGTTATCTCTTTCTCAAAGACAGAGCAGACAAAAACTCTCTCTTGTGTTTTGTGGTATCTTTAAAATTTTGAGTGTCTTTTGACTTAATACTTTCCAAGTTTCAACTATTTTTTGGATTTGTAATGGTATAATGACTAATATGTGATGTTGTATTGCATACTAACATAATTGCATTTGAATTTTGCATTATGATTCTATTATTATTTTCGGTTCCAAAAATATCCGAAACAATTTGGTTCCTACTCGGTTCCAAAATTTATTATCCGAACCAAACCGAACCAAATAGGAACCGAACCGAACCAGAACCGACCCGAATAGGAACCGAACCAGAACCGACCCGATTTTGATTTGGTTCCAATATGGTTCCTAAATCTCAGAACCAAAATACTAGGAACCGAAATGTTTGGTTCTAGAACCGAACCGAATACCCGAACGCCCAGGCCGATCAACCGTCTATCTTAACGCTAGATACAACCTCAACCTCGAGATCCCAAACCACGCGGTCGCTAGGCGTTGCAACCGTTTTGAAAACGGCATAAGGAAGCGGTTTATCATTGATGTCTCTAACTACAAGATAAATCATCTCGGCCCATTATTCTGTTCAGCCCAACAGATCAACGTCGATTTGGAGAGGCAAAAAGAAAAATTCACATATAGACAAAAGAGAACCCTTAATTGTAAAACAAGATCACACAGATTTTTTTAAAATACTCGGCATTGTAAAACCATGTCTTGTAATTGCCGAACTCCGATCGTGATAAATAACTACAAAAAATACTTTGTTGGATCTCAGACTCTCAGCATCAACAAATTATTATAGACTATTTAAAACTTTGGCAGAAAAGAAAAGGGATGTGATGATTAGATTATAACCATGTTCTTAATTACTTAATATCCTATCTTATTTGATCAAATCTAACTAATAAAGTAAAACAAAAAATAATGTTGCCAAAAATAAAATTAACCTAAAGCCAAAAAAATAGAGATCATAACTAGATTCATCATGATCGGAGAGGATTAAGCAACTGATCCTGGATTATATAATCACACCGTCTCATATTTCCAAGCAACGATCCCATCATATTTCCGGCCGAATCCGTCGTGAATTTAACCGGAATATCGGGACAGACCGCCATTACTAAAACGGTCACATCTCCAGCATTTATGTGCATTGCATACTTAACCTCAACCCGAAAATCCCAAATAACATCGCCAATAACTTCTGGCATCACCACCTTCTCGAAAACGACATTTGCCATGTCTCCGGCCACAAATTGTCCGATATATTCGGACATAGGAGGTAATGAATTGGAAATAACTTGGTCGCCACGGAGCAAACGAGACTTGAGTGTTTGAAAAGACATTTTGCAGTTAGTGATTGGACTTCTTGCGGCAAAACCGATCGTCCAATCAGCGACTGAAACATTTGCATTTGCATTCGCGTTTGAGACGGAGATGGAATTGGCAAAAAGCTCCACGTAACAATAACCTCTTAAAGACGGAATCATCGAAAGCCCTATAGAAAAGAGTATAATAACGATGGAGAAACAAATGGTGTAAAGGTAACAATTGCAGCAGCAAGCTGGAGTAACATCGATGGGCTGGCTGAAAGGGGTGGTTGAATTTTGTATGTGACATTGGCCACTTTGGTGCATGCGGCCACAAGAGGTACATTGAGAATTTGACATTATGGAAGTTTTAACACTTCCTGATGGAAAAATAACTTCTACTTATATAGAACTACATGATAAATAAATTAAAAGTTTTTTTTTAATATTTTGCTTCGAAAGCAAATCTAATTAAGGGATATCTATCGGAATTCTAGGGAAAGTATAAATTAGTACTATTAGATAACAAATACTGTTAAAGGAAATCGGAACTACTTTAATTTTAGTTTTAACACTGATATCGGAACTAGTTAGGAATCACATATGATGTCAACACTCAACAGTACTTTTTAATTTTATTAAAAAGCGATAATTTATGTTTTTTACAGTTTTTTTTTTTTTGCTTTTTTTTTTTTTAAATATAATTGAGTTCTCACTATTTATCGAAACTTATAAATCGAGCATTTGAAAGTGGAGTTCTGATCTCTTTCTCTTTTCTTAAAGGCGCTTATAAAGGAATAATATAGTTTACACAATTGTGTGGAAGAAAAAAGGTCTTAATATAATAACAGAAAATAAAACAAGAAGATTATGGAAAAAAGTAGAAAGCCTAATTTGAACTATTTTTAAAACGTCTTAATATTCTACTGCTTCTGGCAATTTTGTGAAAGTAGTGTAACATTGAATCTTCTCGACGTTCTCATGGTTTCGGGTCAGATTATAACACCTTACATCAACATGTCCAGCTCTAGGATCATCTTCTCCGTAACTCGTTAGTTTAGCGCTCAATTTGATATCTAATTGTTTGGAAAATTCGTTGTTTGGATTACCCTCGGCAGCGAAATCCACTGAGAAAGCCGTGTGACTTCGAGACTTACGTTCGTGAGAAGCATTTAAAACGGCAGCGTTTAAGGGACCGAGCCTCGCCGCGGTTTCATCGCCTCCGTAGTAGATAGTATATCTGCAAGACCCGGTCCAGAACATAGACAAAAAGATGTCATTGCTTCGAGCATCGGATAAATATGACAAAAACATGGGAACAAGATATAATTAATGTTCGTTGGACGAATACCTAGGGCTAGGGTTTTTGACAAGAAAATCAACGTGCCATGTGGCAGAGGATGGAGATACGGCGATGGATTGGATGGAGAATTTGGCGTCGCAGTGAGTATTATCGATGACGTGAGTGATAAAAACGAGTACGGCGATGACGGTGAATATACCGCCGCAACAGGGTGTAAAAAAAGCGGTGAAGTCCGTGCAAGTGGCCTCACGATCATGCAGTGCCGGCAAAGTCACTATTGGTCGTGACCACCATCCACGAGGAGGAGGAGTGTCCGAGGACGGTGGCATTGGATATCTGATCACAACTTCTGGCACGGTTTGGGAAGCCATTTTGATTTTTGTTCTCTCTTTTTCTTTTGCGTGTATTGGTTAGAAGTGGAAAGAAATGTTTGATGTTAACCTAATCGTTCATTATCACTCATCTCACATTTCTTTCCCTTCTTTAAAATTTGATGTGTTGATAAAAAGTTTGTTATGATATTTCGGGGATATTATTTTTTTACGAACACAATCAAGAAATTAATTATATGATAAATCAGTTGGATGAAAAAAAAATCATTTTCATATCTATAAGATAATATATCTTCTAGAATTCAGCCCCATATTGCATGCATGATGTTAATCCTTTACTATTATTTGGGGAGTACACTTTATAAGATACATTTAACTAACCTTTCTTTTTGTAAAAATTTACTTAAGAATGTCATTAGAGATAAAATTTCAAAGAGTAAATTAATACATCTTATTAAGGATAAACAAGTCAATTTATACAATTTAATTAAATTAATTTAATTATAAAAATGAAAAATACATTATTATTATTTTTAAATGACCCATCAAAATGAATATATAAGATTTGATATCTAACTTACCTTATTAATTTGTCATTAATCATTATATTTCACCTCTCATCTTTATATGATTCTATTATTGTGAAACAAATAAATCATCATATCATCTATATAATAATAAAAAATAGATTTTTTTTCCGCATATGCCATAATTTGAATTTATAAAAACGAATATAAATTATTCAATTTATGGAAAAAAAAATTTAACGAGTCAAAAATTTAGACTTGGATAATATATTTCTTTTGAACAAAAATAAATTCAACAAAAATTCCGCCTGAATAACGGGTCAGAATTTGAGTAATTATATTCAATTTCATATATTTTTTTAAAATATATAATTTTATATACTACGATAAAATTTTAAATATTTTAATTTGGAATATTTAAAAATAGTTTTACTTGATATTTAAAAACAAATTTCATCAATACTTAATAAATAAAAAAATAAAAAATTATACATACACTAATTTGGTTTTCTTAAAACATATATATTTAAAAAATATTTATAATAGACGGTGGGTTAAATATAATGAAATGAGTTATGATCCTTATAACTATTTGAATATTTATATTTAAGTTCATACAATTATTTTAAAAAATTCTTAATTTTATATTCTACAATAAAAAAAAATAATACTCTAATTTCATTTTTCAAAGCATAAATATTTAAAATATTTATAGCAAACGCCAAGTAGCATGTTAAATGTAATGTATTATATGATAAAAAGAGTTATGATCTTTATAACCGAAACCATGTTAAGATTATATGATGAGATGACTTAAATAAAGTTTGACACCTCTAAATATTTAAAATTTTGATTCTATAAGTATATATGAAAATAATGAATGATGGATTGTGCACACAATTTTTTAATTGGGATTCTAAAATAAAAATATAGGTATGCACGGGTTGAATTTAATCTTATTATATACCAAAATATGTTTATTATATAAGCAATTTTTTTCACTTACTACTAGCATATATCAAATACATACGTTTTATTTTTAACCAAAAAACGTAAAAAACCGTAAAAATCGAACTATAACTAAACCGAATTACATACGGTTTCTATATGGTTTCACTTTCTACAAAACGAAAAAAACGATACTAAACCGAAAAACCGTACCCCACCCCTAATATTTTTTCATCAAACAAAATAAAATAAAAAATCCTTATATGTCATTGTATTATGTAAAGAATTATTAAAATTGTACTATAAAACAAACAATAATCCAACTTTATATAAATATTTAAAAATTAAAATTTCATCCGTGCTGTTCCAGCACGGGTTATGATCTAGTTTTAATGCATGTATTTTTCAAGCATATAAATTTGATTAGAAATTTTATATAAGTTGAATAGCTAATGAGGCATGTCGATTATTTTTACTATATGTTTTTGTGACTTCTGAATACTATGAAAAGTCTTAAAATTTTAAATTTCTCTTTTTTAGTTTCTTTTATAATTTTCCTTTATTTAGAATGTGAATTTCTGAAATTTAATAAAACTTAGCAGAGTTAAGTTATATACTTTAAATCACTTTAGAATTTGGGTTATCGTGTGAAATTTTGAAAACCTTTTCTTAGTCTTTATCAAACTTTGAGCAAGATAAATATTTATTCATAGTTTGTGTGGTACTAACTTTAAAATCTCAAAACATAGATGGCAAGATATGAATCCTTCTAATCTCCCCACATCCCTCACTAAAACGTAGCAAATATAATATTTCACCAGTAGCTACTTAATTCTCCAGCCCTTGTTTATATAATCTCATGTACATGCATTCGTCAATATACATTAAGCCAATTTATTGAAATATATAAATGAAATTATAGATCGCACAATTATATGGATTTGTCCATTGGCAATAAAAAATAGCTACAATATAATGATCTGTGATAGTCCTAGACTCCTAGCTATCTTATTATTGAATAACATTTAAAATGTTTTAGAAAGAAAGAAACAAATTCACTAACCCTAACGCCAAGCACTTGTAAAAGAGAGAGAGATAGATGCATGATCGAAGAGAAACTCTAAAAGGATGGGTCCGTATACTCCTCCTGAACTAAATACTCACACGGCCTCATATATCCGATCAACGATCCATTCACATTTCCAGTCGGATCTGCCGTGAAATTTACCGGTATATCGCGGCAAGTCACGATCAAGAAACCATCTCCATGACCGGCTCGACCGTTTATCTTAACGCTAGTTACGACTTCGACACGGATATCCCAAACCACGCCTTTGCGGGGCGTTGCAACCGTTTTGAAAACCGCATAAGGAACCGGTACATCATTGAGTTTTCCGGTTACCAGTAAACCGAAATAATCAGGAGTGGATGACTCGGAGAGAAGCTTGTTTCCGCGGAGCAATCGCGATTTGATGGTGCGGAGAGAGACTTTACATCCGTTACCTGGATTCCTTGTTGTAAACCCGACGTTCCAATCAGCGGTTGCGTTTGCGTTTGAGGCGTTTGAAATGGAGAAGGAGTCAGCAAAGACCTCCAAGTTACAAACCCCTTTTAGGATGTAGTCGGGAAAGACTGCACCCATATATAAGATGAGGAAGAATCCAAACATTGCGAGAGTGTATAGGAGGTAGAAAACGCAGAAGGAGGCTGGTGTAAGCTTGAACGCTCTTTCTCCGTTGTCACTGTTTGCATTTGCGTTTGGGGCAGTTGAATTTTGCAGATGACATTGGCAGTATCTGCTCCTGAGACCACAAGAAGTACAAAGAGACCTTGTCATTTTGCTTGTAAATTTTTCATGCGATGATACGTTATTAGTTTAAGGATAATATAACTAGCTAAATGTTTGGATGATTAAACGAAAGGCTTTTCTAATAAACTATTGCAACGTAACGAGATACTTTACGTATCTCAATTCTCAAATATCGTAACAATATTCCCCTCTTCGCCCGAAAGATTATAACAGACTTTCATATACACTCACATAATCTTAAAAGCAACTAGAAGAAGAAAAAAGAAGGGGTTTTTTTCCGACTAATTTTACCTATTCAATTCTGATTATCCCCTATATATCATAACAAACTTTCATATCTTACTTACAAAATCTTATAAGAAATAAAAAAAAAATATATAAAAATCAATCAAAAATATTGTGATTTAAGGTCACATCGAAATCATTATTCATTCCATACCCTAAACAACAAAAAATGGCAAACAGGCAGATGGAAATAGAGACCGGATTCCCAACGCCACCGTCCTCCGCCACTGATCCTCCTCCTCCATCACGGTGGTGGACACAACTGCATTCATTATTCCTTCGTCGTAACGAACTCACTAAAGAAGAGAAATCAGCTATATTTTTAAAACCCTATTTGTGCGGCGGCTTGACAATCTTAGCCTTTTTGAACATCTTGTTACACATCGACAAACTTTTCTGCCACGTCAGCTTCTCCGTCGAATCCATCTCCGTTTCCCCCTCCTCTTCCGCCACGTGGCACGTTGATTTTCTCGTGAACCCGAGCTCATGGTGTCCAATCGACTACAACGGAGATGACGTGTACGCCAAGCTAGGCTCCTTAAACGCCGCCGTTTTGAAAACCTCGCGCAAGCGTGGTTCACGTGGCGGTCACACGAGTTTCTCGGTGGATTTAGCTAAGGAGGGTAATCAAAGAGTTTTCGAATTAGACATGAAACTTAGCGCGAAGAAGAAAAGTCCTGCGTATGGATATGAATATGGACATCTCGATATCCGGTGTCAGAATCTGACTATTGGTTATCAGAAGACTAAGTGTCATTCGTCTTTCAAAGCGTTGGAGAACACGATACCTAAGCTATTGGATTAGGAACTCTTCTTGCTTTCCGTTAGCTGTTTCTTTTTCTACAAAAAAAATGGATTTCTTTTAATCCTCTTATTTTATTTTATTGCAAGTGTTTCTTCTCGTGAAGTGAACTCTATCATTTCTTCATCGTTAACAAAATATATAAAATTGTAACGGTATGACTTGCAATGCTGGTAAATGAGGCCACTAGAGGTACATCGAGAACTTTCCATATTGGATGTTTAACACTTCATGATGAAAAGAGAAGATAATAACAAATTATATAGGAATACCTAAAATGTTATACACACACAAAAAAAAAAAGTAACTAAATGAAGGCGTTTTAAAAAAAAATTACATATATTTTAGCCTTTATATTTTTCTAATATGTTAAGTTTGTTTAGCATATTGAAGAATATTTTGATTCGAAAGCAAATCTAATAAGGGAGCCTTGTTTATCTACTTTAATTATAAATATTAATAATACTAGCTTAGCTTATTAATCAAATAAGTAATAACACTAAATAATAACAAAATTAGTCTAAATTAGTAGATTAAAAAAGCACTCAACGGAAGCAAACATCAAAAGTGAGTAAAACTGTGTTGAACAAAATCGGAACTACTTTTATTTTCAACACTAGAATAGGAACTTCTTACTTTCTTAGGAAATCACCTAAATCATCGACAGTAGTAAAAATTATTTACGATCCTTTATTTAATATCCCTATATTTATTAAAGAAGCTCGTAATCTCGGTTGGTTTGGGAACCAGCCGATTATGTTGTCCGTGTGATCAAAGGTTGTCGACAGTATTTATTTATTTGCTTAAAAGCCACTATATATATCGAAACTCTATTAATTGAGCATTTGAGAATAGAGTTGTATCTGTTCTTCTTTGTTAGAGGCGCTTATAAAGTTAAGATATAGTTTACACAATTGTATGGAAGAAACAAAAATTTTGGAAGAAACAATCTTAATACAAATATATAGATAACCTGAAAAAAATAAAAGATGATGAAGTAGAAAGCCTAATTGAAACATTAATCTCTAAAAGGTCTTAATCTACTTATTCCAATTCTGTGAAAGAAGAGTGACATTGAATCTTGTCGACGCTAAGCGTTGCGTCACCGCCCGCTTAACGCCTAGCGTTTTCTTGAACATGGGTTAAAACACAAAAATGTTGAACAAAAAAAAAAGTTAAACACAAAAATTAAAAAGAAAAAGATGTGTAGCCCTAATTAAGACAAAACTCGTAAAGAGATAGATTCATGATCAGAGAGAAAGTCTAAAAGGATGTGTCCGTATACTCTTTCTGGACTAAATACTCACAAGGCCTCATATATCCGATCAACGATCCATTCACATTTCCAGCCGGATCTGCCGTAAAATTTACCGGTATATCACGGCAAGTCACGATCAAGAAACCATCTCCATGACCGGCTCGACCTTTTATCTTAACGCTAGTTACGACTTCGAGCCGGAGATCCCAAACCAATTCGTTGCGGGGCGTTGCAACCGTTTTGAAAACCGCATAAGGAACCGGTACATCATTGATTTTCCCGGTTACGAGTAAAATCAGGAATGGATGACTCGGATAGAAGCTTATCTCCGCGGAGGAGACGCGATTTGACTGTGTGGAGAGAGACTTTACATCCGTTACCTGGATTCCTTGTTGTAAACCCGAAGTTCCAATCTGCGGTTGCGTTTGCGTTTGAGGCGTTTGAGTCGGAGAAGGAGTCAGCAAAGACCTCCAGGTAACAAGTTCGATGGATGACGGGAATGATAGCAATCAAATATAAGAAGAGGTAGACACCAATCATTGCGAGAGCGAATAGGAGGTAAAAAACGCAGAAGGAGGCTGGTGTTAGCTTGAACGCTCTTTCTCCGTCGTCACCGTTTGCATATGGGGCGGTTGAAGCTTGCTGATGACATTGGCAGTGGCTGCTCCTGAGACCACAAAAGGTACAAAGAGACCTTGTCATATTATTGGAAGCAAAAAATTCTCCCGAGAAGATAATTAGTTTAGTAACTTTTTTTTTTCCAGCAATTAGTTTAGTAACTAAACAGCAGATAGAAGCTTTATATATATAAAGAATACATATAAGATAATAATAAAGGGATCTATATCTATATATAATAATATTTGAGAAGTGTTTTTGCTGATGTGTCGGCCTCACAGCTCTTGTTGAGCCCTTGCTTTTATGTGATTACTTAAATACCTTTTATTAAATTCGAATATTAATTAGTTATTTTATTAAATTATAGCATTTTTACTTTTATACGATAATGTTTACATATTCGCAACAAAATTTACATATAAGAAGTGTTTTTGCTGACGTGTCAGACTCACGGCTCTTGTTGAGCTCTTGTTTTTTTTCCGTTTTTAATTCTATATATAATAATATTTGAGAAGTGTTTTTGCTGATGTGTCGGCCTCACAGCTCTTGTTGAGCCCTTGCTTTTATGTGATTACTTAAATACCCTTTATTAAATTCGAATATTAATTAGTTATTTTATTAAATTATAGCATTTTTACTTTTATACGATAATGTTTACATATTCGCAACAAAATTTACATATAAGAAGTGTTTTTGCTGACGTGTCAGACTCACGGCTCTTGTTGAGCTCTTGTTTTTTTTCCGTTTTTAATCTAATTATATTAAATGATTTTCGTTTAAATAAAAGGCCACATTGTGTAATCCGTTTAACCAATATGGGCCGAACAAAATATACAACTACACCGACTATATGTTAAATCGTTAACCCTAGAAACACATATTTAACCTCCTATAAATACATTAACTTCCTATCGTCATAACCTTTTTTTTTTTTTTTTTTTTTTTTACCTTTTGTGTAAACAGATCTGTTTCATAATTTATCGGAAAAGGAATTATACCAAAAAAAAAAAATCGGAAAAGGAAAATATTTATTATAATATTGATATATTTAAGATGATAATGTCAAATATCCGAAAATTATTAATCGGAGCATTAATATAAACATAAAAGAATACTATTCTAACCTTACTCAAATTAATAAGATTTAGATATCCGAAATTAATCGTAAACGGCTATTAATTGTTAAACTAATTAAAATAAAGATCAAACGTACCGGAATAGATGAAATTTTTGGTATGATCGTCGTGTTCGTCGTCGTTTCAATCTAAATATTTGGAAAAAAAAACGAACAAAAAAAATAATATGTAGATCAATGAAAGAGAACCCACCAATTTAAAAACGGTTATCACGCCATCGTATTGTTCGTCGGATGATTATAAGTCTCTAATCCGGAGATTGACTTGAACCCTGACAAAACATATATTCATAGCATAAAATCGTAAATAGAAGGTAGAAGACCACCTATTAATCGGTTGTAACCTTGTGCAAACTCGATTTAATTTTGACGAATGAAATGTTGGTGTGGTGTCAAAACTTTCTTGGGGAGACTCGAAGATGAGAGAGCTGAAGTCAGAGATAGGCAGAGAGGTTTACATGTGAATTAAGGTATGGAGTGCTAACGTGAACATGAACGAGAACGGCGGTGATTTTTGCACATAATAGCAATTAGATCGAGTTTTGGAAAAAAATATGGATCAGCGTGACATGACGCATATGGATACCATGCATGTCTATCTATTGTAAATCAAAAATTATATTATTGTTCCGCCTTATTTTTGAAACATAAAGGAATTTTCCCTTAAATTTTAATATATTTTATAAGATAGTATCAGATATAGTAGTAAATCTAAAATAGTTGTTATTATTCCATATTTTTACCGAAAAAAGTAAATATTATTTTAAATAAACATGGATAACAATGAATAAATGGCAGTTTTACAAATATTTATTATTATGATAGTGATTTGCTTATGAAAATATGTAAATTTTCTTTTCTTTTTTTGTATTTATCGTCGAAAAATTTAGAAACTCTAAATCATGCACCGCCTCCTATTCAATATAAATACCTTGCTCATGGTATTCAATTTTAGATCATAACTAACCCTTATATTTTTGTTCTTTTTTTTCAAACTTTTTTTTGCTTCTACCTAATTTTAATTTTTCTTTTTATTGTAGGGTGGATGTATGGAGGGGACGATGTGAACTGGTGTATGGAAAATTTGGACCTAATTCAATGAATAAACAGGTGATCTTATAGTTTATATGTACAAATTTGATTTTTTTTTTTTTGTATTTATGGTTTCACTATTTTCACCACTAATCAATTTTTATAATCAAAAAGTTTGGTTTCAACTTTTGAGAAGGTAATCATCGATGGTTTGGTATGTTTCTTTTTGTTGTAAAAAGATGAGGTACCTCCCGATTTTGTTGAGGTACATGTTCTTATTATTTTCAAATATGACTTTTCTTAGAAGAAACACTCAACTTTTGATAACACAGTTGCCACAAAGTCAGAAAGATGACTTATTACAGGGATGAATCTTCAGAGGAGGCTAATTTTTGTCGTTAATACAATTTAAGTATTCTTCTCTTTAGACTAGGGATAACAAACTTGGCTGTTAAATTCAGGAATTACTTTTCGTTGCCAATCTCTCTCCCCAAACTAAAATATTACATATATGGAAGTAGTAACTTAAAGTTTTTGGTATCGAGGTCATTCTAAGGCACTGAGATTCGGACTTTGGTATGTATAGGATTCGTTTTCCATGCACTAAGATTTAATTATTGTTTAATTTATTGGTTTTTAGGTTTCTTTCCATGCTCTGATGCGTTTTCGGGTGTGCCAATGGAAGCTTGCATCACTCTTTACTCCAAGCGTAAGTATGCTCTGCATTAGCTTCTTCTGTTCCATTGGTTATTATGGGTTTTGACTTTTGAGAAATATACAACAATTTAAAACCAGGTTTTGTTGTTGATTGGTTCGGTTTGTATACCATATTTTGCTAAATACATATAACCATAAATAAGACCAAAGGAGCTGGGTTAGCTCCTTTGCCAGCTAGGTTGACTTCGTCTCCTCCCCGTCTTGCGGATTTCCGTAATTCAACGAGTATATTTGAGAAGTATACGGTACTAAAACCACAACCATTGATCTTAGCTTGATCGGTTCTTCCCTAGGATTTATACATAAAAATAAATTGTTTTGTTTAATAATTTTCCATTGCATGAACTTTCGAGACAACAAGTGGACAGGAGTGTAATGTCGTCAAAAGTCAAATCAAA